AAATCCGTCGTCAATCGATTAAATTACGTTCGGTCTAATTATACACAGAAATATATACTTTTCAAGAAGAAATAGTCTCATTTTCGGTCAGTAGATACTAAGATGTTTGTGTTTGCAAGGATAACTTTTATTCGTTTTAAATTTCATTGAAATCGTTCGATAACATCAAAAATAGCGTGCGCCCCGGGATCCCGGGGCGGCGAACTGTGCGGTTCTCAATGGACGCGATCTGCAGCTCTATGGCCGCAACGTAATATCAAAATAGCTTAAGCGGCCAATAAGAGCTGCTAAACTGCAGCAAGGCGATGTGCTAGACATGTTGACGAGATTACAGAACTTCAAAATAAACAAAGACTCCAATTACTTTACAGATATCCAGGATCTCAAAATTTAACAGAAAACAAAATCGTTCAAAAACGATGTTTTTTAAAGCAGTCAAAACTTGCCAATTTTTTACATCATAATTTGATTCATTGACTTAAAACATCAAAATCGACGTGTCTGCATAAATTATGATAATTACATGTACTTGTAGCTCCTGTGAACTTACATTGTGACTTCATTCAAAATGGATGCCTTCAGTTACGATTTAGGATACGTGATAGGGCTCATACCACTAATTGAATTTCCATAGACGACAATGTTAACATATGACGAGATTGCTATATGAAAATGATGAAGAAAACGTGGCTCAAAAATGGGAAATCAACATGCCAGTAATCAACCATATGAAAAAAAATAACATGTTGGCCAGCTCAAACTCTTACAAATCTCAGGTAAACAAGACACACCTACTGTATCTGGATTGCACCTAGAGAAATCACTGGAAAAACACCAAGATTAGAACATCCAGACACACACAGAATAAACCCACAGGTACACAGCCGCTAAGTAGTAAACAAAAGACCACATGTTGGTCTCACCTTTGACCCAGGTGATTACAGGGAAAAAAAATATTTAAAAAATTTCATTGGTTCTTGCAAGGCATTTAAATTGGTTAATTAGTGGCATGAGATCTGATACATACCTGGTCTTTTCAGCAGTTATTTTAATGTTTATTGATTTCATGTACATACCATAATATTTTTGTCTTATTTGGTAAATTATTTTATTGAAACAATACAATATATGTAAACATAATCACCAAAGGAAAACTGGTGTCTTTCATTTGTCTTGTGTTTACAGCACATGTAATTGTTGTTTCAATCGAAGTCACGCCCACTCTGAATAAACAGACTTCCTGTGAAAACCGACCATATATCCCAGTCCCAGTCATAGTCGATTTTGACAGGTTTTACTGTATACTATAATAATACTAAAGTTATTAAATATGGTTGTCATGAAATAGACAAATTACCATTTCAATGATCCATTTCTTACCTTAAATTGGAAAAAATTAAAATTACCGGTACTATAGCATCTGGGGATTAATTAGCCCTGTGTACAGTGCTGTGTGTACACAGCACTGTACTCAGGGCTAGGGATTAATTATAATTTCCACGCACTAAATTTATTTTGTACAATATCAAACAGTTTATGAGTATTTCAACAGTTTCTGCAGGGTCTTTTGGTGCAGGGATTTGTGGGCAATACGGTAATCCAATGTACAATTATTGATTGCCTGAAAGCCAGTCTACACATAGTAACAGCAAAGGAGAAATGCTCGAAATGATGGGAATAACACATACTTAAAGGGTGGTGGTCATTGGGCTGCGCAAGTAAACATCGATTTTCCCACAATCCAATGTGCTCTTCTAATGGAAATCACAAGTATGAGGTTTGACCTGGGAGCAACTTGCACTAATTATCACCGATGTCTCCTTTGATATCTTCCAATTACCTAAAAAATACCTAATTAAAGCTTGGTAATGTCTCAGTTTGTACTCATTGATCTGCGCAACAGTCAAAGCTGCCATCTTTGTTTATATGTGAACCATATATGACGACTACTGCCCTTTAATAAATTAATTACCTTGCATTGGTATGACTAAATTTGCATAATTCAATGTATTTTAAATAATTATTAAATTTGCATAATAATTACTTTTCAGTTTTTTCTATTCCTTCATATCAATAACCAAAAGTGGATTTGATTGCAAATTATTATTATTATTAATTGTCAGTATTTGTGTATATCTAAGTTTAATTTTTATTTTTTTTTGTAGCCAGCAAGCATTCAACATGGCTCTTGAGCATGAATCGTGCGACAAACGTGACTATTTGATTCATGCAAAGCTAAAAGAAGCAAGGACAAGTCACTGTCTTTCTTTTAACAACACCAAACTGAATCGCATTCCCAAAGAAGTGTTTACTAAATTAACAAGTTTGCGACATCTTTACCTGAGTGGTTGCAACCTCCAGGGAGTTGTACCAATTGAGTTTATGGAGCTTCCGTTGTTAGAATCGCTTGATCTATCTGTGAATGGATTTGATGAACTTCCTGCAGATGTGTGTCGCAAACTAACCAGGCTAGAGATGCTTGATATCAGTAGTAATAAGCTTGTTGTTTTACCTACAACGATTAGCTGTATGAAAAATTTGCGAGAATTGAATTTGTCTGAGAACCGATTGGTGGATCTTCCTGACCAATTAGGGAATCTTCCTCATCTACAAGTACTGGATTTGTCTTCTAACTTACTGAGAGAAATTCCTCCTGGAGTTCTTACTGGTAGTATGGGTGAAACTCTTACGCAGTTCAGTGTCAGAAACAATTTACTTACAAAATTTTCTGATGAGATTGGAGCACTTAAATATTTGGAAGAGCTAGACTTACGAGATAACAACTTCATCAATATGCCAAGAGCTGTCAGAACTTTGATAAATTTGAAAGCCTTCTACTACGCTGGGAATAGATGGAGACGTTGTCACCGACCATACAGGCAGGGTGTACCTGACAACGGGGTAGCTAGTTATGGGGCTGGAGCTCTTGACAGACTGTTTACTTTTGTACATCCACGCTATTAGAATGGTCAACTTCTCTAGTCAGGAGTAAAATTTTGCATCAAAGAGTTATTTCAAATTGAAGTAACAACAAGCAATTAAGATGAAACTTTTTAGCTCCACTGTTAGTATAGGTGATTGTCTGCTGTTATCTTGCATCAGCTTTTTTTCAAACGGCCTCTTGAAAACTCTTAATGTTCCTTGGGTTGACCTCTATGAAATTAGACCATTTTGTCAAGATATTTTCAATTCTCTATTATTAATGAATATTTTTCGTCACAAATGTTATTTTCACTCGGATTGGTTTTATACATGTACCTTTGGTGGTCATCTACTAGATTAAAACATTTCGTGAAAATATCTTGAATTTTCTAGTTTAAGTGAATATTTTGGTCATTGTTAGTGAAAATTGACTTCTAATTGATGACTGCTAGTTTGATTGAATTGATAATTGGTATATATGTAAATGTACCTTTGATTAGATCATTGTGTGACATAAAGGGAACTCTCTGCTAATTCTGACATATCCTATAACTGTAGTTGATGAATCCAAAACTTGGCTACTATTGCCGGTAAATGTATCCTTACCAGTCATGAGAGTGAAACACTTAAAATATAAACAAAGCCAAGGTTATTTATTTTCCCACTATGATGATTATCTATATTATGTAACTATATGCAATAACTCATTTTATCAAATACAACTATTTTACTAACAATAAAGTTTTTTTGGAAGGATGGCATAAATGTATCATTGACAACTGTGTACAAACAAAATAAAGTGGGATAAAAAAAAGAAGTCTCACTTATACCAAGAATATATTACAGCGATTCCAGGATTTGACGCTGAAGTAGTGCTAGATTTAGATAACATTCTACAATAGGTTACACACTTTGTTTTCACATTTACATGAGTTGCAACTAGAAATATAAACATTGACTGCAAATCAGAGTAATGATTGACAGATATTGCCCACAATGTTTTCTATTTTTGCTACAAAGTCTGTAGACTTTGTGGCACGTCTGTCCTCAGTTACTTTTGGTCAGTCATCGTGTTGATTGCATGTTTACAAATCAGCATTTGTCCAAGTTATTTAAACACCACGAAAAACCAGTTGAAGTAAACTGAACTGTCATTTGCTGAGATTGGAGATCGAAGTGGTGTTTCAAAGCAGACGGCTTATAATATCGTCAAACAGTTTACCGCCAAGAGTATCCTGCCAGGAAAGCGTAAGAGCGATCAATCCGGGATTAAAAAACTGACATCGTTATAGACTATGTTGAATATTATAAAACGTTGAGACCGAGCATGTACGGATGATAAATTCGACAAAACTACTCGAAAACGGTGTATGTCCAGCGGCAACCCTCCCCGGACATATGATCGTGTGTTGCTAGTGATAAGCTGTTTACGGATACAGTAGAGTTAATAGTAAAAGTAAAAACGTTCTTGATGGGGAAAAATGTTTCGCTGCATGGCAAAATATATATTTTCTTGAAGCCCTTGTTCCTGGTTTTTTACCTTGCCCGTACCATCAAAGATGGAAGGGAAAGGTATATTAAGGGAAAAATTTTGTCCGGCGTTGTTGTCGTCGTTGTCATCGTTAATTGTTATTGTGTACATAATAAATTTACTAATTCTATTCCAAACTTCATCAAACTTGGTCACCTTATTCATCAGTATAAAGTCTTCCCTGAGTTTGAACAACAGATGTCCTGTATGAAAATATCATGCAAAAATTGAGAAAATCTGATAAAATATTTTGACTGTTTCTACTTGACTGATCACTGGTGATACATATCAAAGGTCACTGATGTCAGTGGAAATGTGCATTGTTGTATGTGTTCAATGAAGCAAATGATTTATCTTGTAATAATATCCTTGGTAATGTATCTCAGAATCCCATACTGGGTTTCAAAACCAACTCATGGAGAGATTGCACAGTCTGATACACATTTGCAAACCTACCAATAAAATCTTGTCAGAAAATCAATATAAGCACTCCTATGAACTGGGTGCCAAACTTTGATCAAGATCTGAAGCTAATAGAAAATCTGTTTAGTTCAAAGTTATCAAATCAAAAACAATACATAAAAAGCAAAACATTTCATCCACATTTTAAAAAGAAAATTGTTCTAAAATATATGTATTCTGTATTTGACAAACAGTTCATTCGACAAATGAAAACTCACAGGAATATGTTTCAGCTATTAGAACAGAATGATAGTTTTTTTAATACTGGTTTAAAAACGCACTTCAAAGATTGCAGTGTTTGAAGATGTAGATTCTCAGGAGGCAACAGTACTGTTGACTACTCCCTCCACTGGACACCAACTAACTATTTAAGTTGATTTGCATACAAAGCAGAGGTTGCAACATGATAGCTATTCATAAAGGGTGATTTTTTTTTACTTTTCATATAATACAGTAGTCACACAATGAGGCAGTTCATATTTGTCTCAGTGAATCATTAATTTTTGACAGGCACCTGTACAAAATACTTGGACAAAAGCCTGCTAAGATTTTCTGTTATCTTGCATGTTTCATGAATCTATTCACGTCTAAATGCAGCACTTTTTTTTTTGCGATGGGGCATTTGTTTTTTACTTTGAATAAAGCTGGAAATTATGTCCCTTAAAATAATTACCGGTAAACAAATAAGGCACCAATGTTTTTGTAAGATATTTACATCTTTAAAGGACATTCGGTAGACTGATTCCCCACTGTTGGTTCAACCCCAAAACTTGTATTCAAAATTAATTATGACAATGCATATTTATATTGCAACAAACTATGATAAAGGAAATGATATATAACAAAGGGCAAGGTCACCAGAGTTCAACTATGTTTTAAAAAAAAGGTCTGATATGTACCACCAAATTAGTCACATGACATGTAAACATAGAGGCGACATTTTGAATAAAAATGAGTTTTACGTAAAAACAGCGGGGGTTTTGTAAAAAAAAGAAAGCTTCAGTTATATACGTTGGCGTGATACGGATATTTCCATAGTAGAAATAATGCACTTTGATAAACAATTCAGCTGGTTCTGTAAAATAACTCTACCGATAACTAACGTTTTTGACTCCCGTGTGCGAAGCACAAAAGGGAGTCTTTGCAGTTACCCTGTCTGTATGTCTGTATGTATGTATGTATGTCACTTTTTTTGTTCCACCGTTATCTCAAGAACCACTAATCAAATTTTTGTGAAACTTGGTACATAGATGCTCTGGGATAATGTGCAGAGTTGATTAGGTTTTGGTAAAAATCTATGAATATTAATTACCTAATTTGCATGATAATTAGCTGATTTTTAGCTCTTCCAAGACTGTTCCACTGATATCTGAAGAACCACTCATTGGATTTTGATGAAACTTGGCACATGGATGCTCTGAACTAGTGAGCAGATTTGATTAGTTTTGGGTAAAAATCTATGAATATTAATTATCTAATTTGAATGATAATTAACTGATTTCAAGCTGTTCCATGACTGTTCCACTGATATTTGAAGAACCACTCATTGGATTTCAATGAAACTTGGCACATGGATGCTCTGAACTAATGTGCAGATTTGATTAGTTTTGGGTAAAAATCTGTTAATATTATTAATTACCTAATTTACATAATGATTAATCAATTTTTGGCTTTT